CTTCTACACTATGATATCCAGATTTTCTTCGGTTGAAATGCTCGTTTCATTAATTTCTCGTTGGTTCGAACAGGGTACGAAAGCAAAGAGAATCGGTGCACCCCTTTACAAGATAGGTGAATGAATTCAAGTGAAACGAACTGGAGAGATTGGGATCTGTGTATTGATGAGAATTTCTTGTTTTAGTTTTAGATGTTGTTTCCTAACACAAAAATCGGAAGTACGGGGGGAAGGAAAAACAGGACAAAAAACTTCAATTTCCATGCATTTGTTATGGAAATATGAATGTGTGCTTTGGCAATAGAACCGTACACACGGTGAACGACAATAAAAAATGAATCTATATTCTGGGACCAGGTGGTCAAAACGCACCTCAGAATCACGATAGGAAAGTAGCATATTGAGTAGAATCTCCGTTGATAGCATCTCGGGATCGTCCAATCGACGCCGCATTGTCCGAAGCCGCTGAACAGGAAAAATGAAGTGTAGAAAAGAAGGATAATTAGGCCAATAAGCTGTGTGAAGAAACACTCGTCTATTTCTTACAGTTGATTACATACAAATGTAACTACAGAGTGCAGGAGAAATTTTGCCCTAGACACTGCCAGAGCCGGACCGAAGTGGATTGCTTTATTCCAAGTGTCCTGGGGCGGGTCGAAGACAAGTCAGCAGAGTGTTGTGAGTGCGCGGGGCAGAGGCAAGTGTGACTGCGCGAGCACAATTTATGGAAGGCACTGTACTGCCCAATCGGATCGATTGGTCAAGAAACGAAAGATGATTTCTGCTTTGTTACGCCATCCGGCAGACTCAAAGGAGAGCCAGATACAGGGGATCTGACTCAGAAAAAAGCGAAAACGGACATTCACTGATCGCTTTCAACTAGACATGAAAAGCGAGCAGAGGAGAGTGTAAATTTATCGAGAAATTAATCTGTTCTCGTTCATTTTTCGTGCACGTGAATCATTTCATGCATTCAGGGAAATAACGCACATATTTGTCACGACGGAGCAGGCTATTCCAATTTCAGTTTGTACAACCATTAACCATGCACTTTTGTGCACCGCTTTTGACCGCCCATTTGGATAAAAGAGCAGAATGAAGATTGGAATGTTGGAAGCAAATTCAAGTGAAAGATGGAGGATTCATATAGAACGGTGTTACAAAAATAATGAGTAGNNNGATGCATGAGCGTCACTGTGTGCGACACCCAGCCATGTCGCTCAGTGTCTCTAACCATCGGTGACCATGATCTTGGGGTCCCCAGTCAGAGAGCTTAACGGGCCCTATGTGACCCAGGGTCTTGATCAAGGTTTTCATACTCTCGTGTCAGGTCATAGTATGACCGCTCTTAAACTTTTTCCAACAGCTACCTGCTTCGGCGAGCATCGCTCGCCTATCTGGTAACACTTGCTTGAGCCGGCTGTGGGAATTCCGATCCGCTCGAACCGATTTGGACAGTAAACGAATTGCAATTTTTTTTAGATCGGCTCGATTTGTATTCCCTTAAAGGATTATGATCATCTGCAAACGGAGTTCTTCACCATGATGTAATTCGTAATCCTCATTACACTTGTCCTTAGAAATAACTCATGGACATAGTTTTATCAAAAAGAAGTGACCAAGCAGAATGCACTTTGACATGAAGAGGGAGAATCAAAGGCATTTTTGTGCACACGAGCCTGACTTGTACCGACAATGTTTTTATAACACATGATAGGGAAAAGATTATTTTCCCCTATGAAAGTGACTATTTTTCTCTATTCTCCCTATTTTTCTAAAATTTGAATTTCCCAATTTTCCCGCCAAAAGACTCAGACCGCACCACCGACCATGCTCGATCCTCATTGATCCATTTTCTCATGACTCACTACTTTCGAGCTGTTTTTCAAGGCAATTGATGTCCGGTCCCCAAATTATGTATAAACAGATGAGTTATCCACTATCTTCACCTTTTACGGTCGAGCGAAATACACAACCTATCTTCCTAGTTCTCTCTGATCGAGTTCGGGGATCGTGTTGCTTTCGTGGGGCGTTCCGTTCCGGTTCTATTGAGACTTGCCTTGGGGTACCGCAGTCGGGCACACCAGTGTACTGTCACTATTCCGCTGGGTCGTACGGTTCTATTCGTGGGTCACTGCTGCCGCACGTATCGTTGGTCACGGCTCATGCTAGGCTAGTCGTATCATCCAATCCAACGTTAAAACAGTGTGATGAACAGCAGACGGGGATAGGCCACATAGTGATGGAAACCGGTAAACCCCAAGGACTTGGAGTGGCGAACCACATAAGGCTTCTCTAGATTAGACCTGATATTAAACCGGAAGACAGTAAAGCTGCCTACCACCAAAGTTGGGTGGCGGTGCTCGAACCTCGGATCACGGGATCCAATGCGCGCCAGTGGCAGCGACTAAACCACTGCGACACCACCACATAAACGCCCAGAGAAAATGTAAACGTTTCTCGTTTTGAGTATCAAGCTTGGATTAGCCCATTCGATTGTTCAAAGGTACCAGACACTCTTGATGGTCTTCAGCGTGGGTTTCACTCCTTGGGAGATCGTGAATTCCCAACGAGATAATGCATCCAAAATGAGATGGAAATGTTTGTGATAACCAACAAAGAGCACGGGACAGCTGTTTCCCCTGTTTGGGACTCGTCAGCGGTGCGTATTTTTTGTGTCCCTGTCAGGACTCGAACCGCGATCAGTCGGGTGGGGACTTACCCCTGAGAGTGATTTAAATGAGTCTGTGAGACTTACCTCCCTTAGTTCCGCCCCTTTGTATTGTTCACGTACGCGTCGGATATCCGCGATGAATCGCTCCTTGAGGGTGGCTCTGCAGCAAAATAAGGAGCGAGAAAAAACAAGATGAACAGACAATTGACTTGTCCAGTTTCAGATACAAGTTAAACAGTTCAATAAATTTAGTTCATTGCTTTCTATTCTACGAATAAATCAAAACTTGTCCGTCAATGTTTTGAAACACCCGTGCTGGCTGGCGTGGTGCTCAGACGGCGTTCTGTTGATAATTTGACCGTTCCGTCTATTATCTCATGTAACAACCGTTCGCTCATGGGAAAACTCGATGTCAACAGCATGATACACCAGAATGTAGGTAGGAGTGATTCTACTCCAAGAAAGCTGGATACATCCTAATATTGAGAACAACGTCGGGCATCTTGATGGATTTGACACATTCTGATGCGATCGTAATGTGAACTTCCTACAAAGAGGTGGTGGAGTGGTCACTTTCGTCAACAGGAAATGGTACGAAAACGCTCGTAAATGTTTTCAATTTAATACTCCCAAGATAAATTGTATTTCTGTTTATTGTAAACCCCGATTTATCAGTCAATTTCATCACATTACATTAGCAAACATTTACNTACATCGCTCCTGACATGCCTGCTTCTGTTTGTCGACTCCTTCCGCTCATAACTTATAACCGGTTTAGACCAGTCCTTATGCATTGCTGCTGGTGATTTTAATCGCTTCAATATATCTTTCCTTACAACTTTAGACTTGATGAATCTGTAAATTTTTCTACCCGGCTTGGTATCCAACTTGAGGGGATTTTTGTAAATAGTCCCGAAATCTTTTTCATTGAGAAGCGGGCTTCCATAGCTCCAACCATCGCTCTACCTTTTTGCATCCCAAGATTTACGGTAAATATTTTCATCATCATATGAACCGTTCCACATCCAGAACCATCAGAAGGAGAAGTCGCACTCCTGAAAACTTATCCAAACTTAGAGATATGGTTTCATCTGCCGATTTCACTGTATTTTCCAATACTGACAACTCTTCCAGTTGTGAGCATCTTGCATGTCAACTTAATTTTTGCTATGATCTGTGTTGCCCAGTTGAGATCTTATATATTCGAACTGACAGATTCTCTTTGCCTCTTCTAAAACGGCTTCGTCGTGATAAAGAAAAGGCTTACAGGACTGAAAGGCGCAGTGCTGCCAAACATCTATCATTATTGATCAAAATGAAAATACAGTGCCTAAATCGGATATATATCGAAACTATTATGGGAAACCAGAGCTGCCGCGATGTGTGGTCTGCTTTGAAGCAGCTTTGTGGATCACGCAACAGATCTTTTCCGGATGTTGAGGAATCAAACCGCTAACTTGTACATGCTACTGTACGGAACTCAACACCATCTTTATTTACAACTACCGATGAGAACCATCTGTCACCCCTATGGAAGTCCTGGATGTACTGAAGTCCCTTAAATCTAATAAGGTACCTGATTCATTGTCCCCTTTCCTACTGAAAGAGTATGCTGAACAACTTGTTTCATCTATTTCCGAGTTATTCAATTTGTGTATGTCATCTGGAAGCATCCCTGATTGTTGGAGAGTTGCTCGAATAACACCAATCCCCAGAAAAGGATCTTCCAAATATCGACCGATTGTCTGCACATCAGCATTATGGAAGATTTTTGAAAAAGTCCTTCTTAACCGGCTGACCCTTTTATCTGTCACCCATGACCCTATTCAGTTTGCTTACAAATATTCGCTTTACACTCTTGATGCTGTTGCTCATGTTGTTCACTCCGTTTCTTCCTTATCGGATAAAGGGACTGGCATCGTCCGTTTAACTTTTCTTGATTATGCTAATGCTTTCGGATCACTTGACCGCGGCATTCTTATTCAACGTCTTTCGAGTTGTGGTCTGGTACCTAGTTTGCTGAATGTAATAATTAATTACTTCACTCATCGGACGCAATACACTTTTTGTAACGGTAAATCTTCCTTCCTGCTAGAAGTTAACCGTGGAGTTTTTCGGAGTGCAATTTTGCCTCCATTTTTTTCCACTGTATATCAAGGACCTTCTCATCCCTCCCAACTTTATCGCCTGCAAGTATGCTGATGACGTAGTGGTCGGTTGTCCCTCGATTGTTCCTGATTGTTTTTGTCAACTTCAAGTTTGTCTGAATAAAACTTTTGTTGGTCGACTCTCCTATTTTTAATGCTAAATGTAGATAAATGTCTATTTTTTTATTAAACACTTTTCGTGTGGTGAACAGCAGACGGGGAAAGCTCCATAGTCACGAGGACCTACTGTGCAGTGATGGAAACCGGTAACATAAGCCCCGGGAATGGGGTAATGAAGCACACAAGGCCCCGATTGGTTAGGTGTGGTATTGAACCGGACGACAGCAAGGCTGCCTACGACCAAAGTTGGGTGGCGGTGGCGGGGCTCGAACCTCGGACCATAGGATCCTGTGGCAGCGACTAAACCACCACCATGTTTCTTTTAGCCTTAAAACTTATTTGAGTAATCAGCCTAAACTTTCTGTTAATAGTAATACCATCCCCAGAGCTAACTCTGTGAAATATCTTGGAGTTACTTTGTCACAATCTTTCTTGGTCCAAACATGTTGAAAGCATTTATATTAGGATTCGTAGGCTATCCTTCTACGCTTTTAGGCTTAAAAATCTCAGCGTTCTCCTAAATGTAATTCTTAAATTTGTGACTGCATGCATTCTTCCATATTGGTTGTACAGTTCCCCCGTATATTTTCCTGGTCTGAAGGAGAAAGACTTTATTCCCTTTTCCAGATCTCTTGAACTTCTTTCTTGTTGCAGCGGCATTTCAATGGCCGTTTTGGTTGACTTTATTGTGAGCAAGCATTTTGATTCATGCGATCGATTTATCAGCCTAACGTTTTCCTCACTATAGCTTGTAGAAAGTGCTGAAAATTTATCTTATTGGGAGCATAAAGCTTTACTTGACTTGAAATAGGACTTGTCGGTTCTGGTGTGTGGATGCAATAGAGGCTATTTGTACTCCATGAGGAGATAGAGAGAAAAATAAATGTAGCCGTCGATCCTGAGTGCAGCTTGAGATTATGTGTCGGCGCTCAAACCGAAAAGTCTGGATCACACCTGGGAATAAAAACTAAAGTGCGCCTTTATGACGAGTTCGATTGGCTGCGCTACACGGACACTGTCGCATTGTTGAAATTGTCACATTTTCACTCAGTATATAATGCGTCGTCGCTACTCACGGATTGCATTATTTGTCTCAAACGTGTCAGGACATATTTTGACTCCGGTTTACCACTGTCCAAGTTTAACCAAAAAACGCAAGCTTATAGGATCGCAAGTTGCTCTCAACTGCACCCCTTTGGCCAAGATGACTGTTCCCTTATTGGTTAACACTAACAATCAGCCCCTGTTTCGTGAAATATCGGATTTAACCTGTGTCCACCGATCGAGAATTGATATGAACACTTTTACAGTTTGTGTACAAGAATAAGGATATAGATGATATGCTACTGTCGTAAAACGGTTTTAAAGTTCACCGACAGGATCGTGTAACCAGATGAAAGAAGACTGGATGGAGTGTTGTAACAAAGATTAACGTTTCCTGTTGCGGCAAGTCCCATGTTATATTTCAGTACTGCTCAAAAGGTATTGAGTACCAAACTGTGAAATGTCACCCGTTTTACTCACACAATTTCCACTACCTTGTTTCCCCATATTTAATTACAACTCATATTTGTGATATTCTTTGTGCTTCTCCTGCACGTATTTTGAAATATGCAGAGAATATGCTGTGCTAACCCGTTTCTTCTTTCTCCAATTTAAGCTCCTTTACTGGCAATTTTGGTCAAACTCAGTTATTCTCCTCCTTATTGGAGCTAACCCCAAACCCCAGAAAATGTGTTGTGTTTACATAGTTTACACACTTTTCATATCCGACAGATCCTACAGTGATTCATACAAATCTTTTATCTAGGATGAACTCTGTAAAGTATCTTGGTGTAACTATAGATACCAATCTTCATTGTTCAACTCACATCTGCAACTGCATTGGTAAACTGTGGCGCCTATCAATTCAAATTCGAAAGCTCAGGCAGTTCCGCGCACCCGTCAGTTATTTCCACCTTTGTTTATCAGTTTGTTTTCCTCACCTTACTTTTTTGTACCTCAGTTAGTTTTCCTGGCTTACGCTAACAGAATTCCAAAGTCTTACGTCGCGGTCAAACTATTATTAGCCACGTTTTTTCTACTCCAGTGAACGTGTTAACTGTGAAGTTTTCAGTGTCATATAACTTCAAACCCTTACCTCTGAGCTAGGCGGTCGACGGGCTCAATCAATTGAGAGTATCAAGTTTGGATTAGCCTGATCGATTGCTCACAGGCACCAAGCAATCTTGATGGTCTTGAGTATGGGTTTCACTCCTTGGGAGATCGTTAATTTCCCAGGAGACCATCAACAGTGCCTGATGCCTCTGAACAATCGAACGAGCTAATCCAAGCTTGATATTCTAAATGTTATATAACTTGCTGTGTGAAACTTGCGGAGAGGATTCTAAGAGATCTTGACTACCCAGAACAGACACGTTGTCATTCCCAACCCCCTACGCTCTCCTGATTTCACCAAATTGTATCTCGAATAAACGCTTACCGAAATCCACCTACCTTGCACGTTTACTCACAAACAAAGAAAGGGTAACAAGTGAACTTTGCCTTAACCTTGGATTATGAAATGTCCCCGTGTCTGTAAATAATTTCTCCCCGTTGAATATGTTCTTCGTGACGGTTGGCGTGCATAGTTTTTTCTTCTTTTTTTAACTGAAACGTAAGCTTCACTGCTTGTAAAGGTTATACACAATAATGAAACAGCTGTTTAGTGTTCATTATCTGCGGTTACACTAAACTTTCCACAAATAACTCCGTTAGCTTCGGTTAACAATAAAGCGAACAAAAATACATGATCCCAGATCGCGCGAATAATTTCGATTAGGCCCGTCCAATGAGCTTGCTGAACACGCGGGCTCTCGTCGTAACCTAAACATCGATGGGAAGTCACCTAATG